AAGAACCGTGGGATCAATGAAACCCAAAATGTGTAATAGTCATTGTACAAAAGAGAGGAAAAGAAAGTGCTCTAAACTATATAACTGCATGTATATTTAAGTGTATAAGATAGAAAATGATATCACAGAGTTTTATTGGATCATTGAACAGAACTGTTTGCAGTATCATTGTTGGAATGTCCACTTTACAAGCTTTAATTTTGTGACTTGAACAATTATTTCTAAGATGACAATATGTAATCCATTTCCTACTGTTTATTTTTTTTTCTGTAAATCTGTATAACTTGTACACTTTCTCTGCTTTTTTTTTTCTTTTCTCCTTAAATAAAATTAAAAAAAAAAAAAAAAAAGAAGGAGATCCCCTCTAGAGGTCACACTGTGTACCACTATCCTCTGAACCTATGATCAGACCACTGGCCCTAGATCTGCAATGTTAGTGAAACACCAAAGCACCACAGGCATCCAATTGCATTTCACCTCCATAGCTATCGTAGCCTGTGTTCTTATCAGATAAGCCAGTGGCTTATGCTTTGGGGGAGCAGGGTCTGGTACTTCTTGTTTGCAGGCCTGCACTCTGGAAGAGGCTGGGATCTGGCTATTCCAGTCCACAGCAGCCAGCCCAAAGTGCTGGTTCCCAGCCTGCCTGAAATAACATCTAATCTCCCTGAAGTCTCAGTGTCCAGTTGTCCCCTGCTCACGTGCCATTGTTTAGCATTGGTGCCATGCTGTGGGTGCACAGAGGGTCCCTCCTGAGAGGGGTCACCCTATCAAGCCTTTTTCCACTGAGGACACGCAGGGACAAAGATTCCAGACTCTGCCCCAGGCTTCCAGGCAGTTCCCCAGCTCCCACTATGCTGCTCACTTGGGATATGGTAAGCACCCTCCCCTTCCTGGCTTCTAACACTCTCTGTGCCTTAAGATACTTCAGCTCTGAATGTTTAACCCTCCCAGTTCTGCTCTTCTCTCACCCCTCAGGACAGAAAGAGTCTTATTCCTCCTCCATGCCTTTGAACCTAACACTAATCTGGAAGCGTCCTGGGAAGGCTGAGTCCCCTTGGTGGCTGATCAGTTGTGACAGCCGCCTTGCTCACTCACCGCGTTCCGGGATGGCCTTGGGCACAACTGAAGATGTCTGGTACTGGCCTGGTGCTGGTTTTATTTTGCCACTCCAGATGGGAAAGTTACCTTTGGCTGCTGCTTTCTCCTGCTATTCCTCCTACCTCCCGTTTAGCCTGTGTCTTAAAAAAGCTGAAACGTCCTCAGCACCAACACAGCCTGAAGCGTAAGCACCTAATATTCTTCTGTGACAGTACATGGCCAGGGAATGGGAATTAGACTACTGCTGGAAGCTACAAAAAGTGGTCCAAGTTCCCTTCCCACAGGTCTTCTATTCAGGCCCACTTTGTGCACCTCATGCGATCCTTCTCAAATCCTTTCTCTCTCATCTACCCCCCTTCATAAGACATGGACTCCCCAAAACAGATCCACTGACCTTGCTCTCCCCTGGCAGCTTCTAGCAGCTCCATCCCTACAATTTACAGTTGGTTCCCACCACCCCCAGAGCCTCCCACGGTTGCTACTGCAGCTCCTTCCACTCCTCGAAGGACCTCCTGCTGATCAGATCCCTGTCCTATAAGCTACGCCTACCACCACAGATCCCACTCCGCCGCATAGCCGGTCTGGATTGCAGATTGGCCCCAGGACCTTGCCCGCCACCCTAGCTCCTTCTCTGGAAGGTGATAGGGGCAGAGTGACTTAAGAATTCATGTCCTTTTCTCCTTGACAAATTTCTCCCAAATTAACCAGCGTCTGGGCTCTCTTCAGATCCCAACCAACCGAGTTTCGATGTCTAACTCAGTTATACAGTGTACTCTAGACTGATTTAAGTGTGATCCTTGGCTCCACCCTTCAGAAGAGTAGGACTGAGTGATCTCCCTGAGTTAGTCTTATGGAAGTGAACAACATCTTCATCAGGCAGAACTTCCCTTAGGAAGGATAACGGTCCCCTGACAAAACCTGACCTGGAATTATCAGGCAGAATCTGAGGACTAGCAAGCTGAGATTACAGGAGAGCCTGTACAGCAGCTAATTTTGATATGCTAAAAGAAACCACTCAGAGCAGGGATGAAAGCCCAGCTCAGTTTTCACTTACCTGGCTGCTGCTCTTGGACAATACATAGCATTAGATGCAGAAAGGGAGGGCGGACCACCTTTCCTGTAGATACGTTTTGTTACTCAATCAGCACCACACATTCATAAAAAATTAAAGAAATTGGAAGCTGACCCTTAGATTCCACAATAGGAACTTACCAAATTAGTGTTCAAAGTTTTTAATAGAGATGAAAGTGCTCAAAAACAGCGTATTTCTGAGCCGCAGATATGAGTCTCCACTGAAGGAAACCCTTGGGCTGGACCAGACTCCCAGCTCATGCCAGAACAGTCACTGGGCTCAGGAATGCCCACAGCCTGGGATTTCCTCCAGCTGCATCCTTGCTGTGGGCGTCCCCCACTGGAAGTCGGGTTGCCCAACAATGATGGTCGCTCCTGTTGACTCTGGACAATGGTCCCGGGACCTCCCCCAACTAGCTCCTTCCCAATCCTTCTTGACCTGACCACCAAGGATTAACTGGGCCCAAAACCTGCCAAGGCCCCCTGGAACATTCAAATGCCAAACTCTGGGTGACTCTTACAGTGGAGGATAAGTCCATCCCATTCCTAACTGATAGAAGTATTTGCCTTCCTGAGGACCAGCCTCTTGCCAAGAGTTACTGTTGTAAGTGTTGATGGTAAAGTCTCCAGACCCTTAAAAACTCTAGTCTGGTCCCAACTAGGTCGGAATCTTCCCTCACACTCGATTTTAGTCACCTCTACCTGCCTCGTGCCCTTCCAGGGCAACCTTTTGCCCAGTTAATACTCTTCTTCCTTTCACCATGCCCTGAGGGTGCTCGTCCCCAGCTGCATTCAGCTGCTCCCAATTATCTTTACAAGACTTTATTGTTAGCTCATTCCTTGCTGAATGGCTCTAATCTTACCTGAGCCAAAGATTGCTGGCTCTGTTATTTCTGTGTCTACAGCAATCTATGGCCATTCCAGTCCCTCTCTCGCTCTGGGTTTCTACCAATCTCACATTTCACCCTCAATATGAAATGAACAACTCACTGCATCCCCTCATCAGAATTCTGTTGCCACTTGTCAATAACAAGACAAAAACCTCAGGTAGGACTTGCAGCCCAACTCCTTCAGTCCTATTTCCCGATGCTTCTGTGTATGAGAGCTCAATTAAGCACATACACACCCCATGACCACTGATGCTCCTCTGACTTTCCGACCTCCTGTTTGCATTCAGCATAATCTGTACATCACTAGGACATCTACTTCCCCATCAGTGTAACTATACACTACTGTTACTAGCCTGCTATGATCTGCCGGCTACAGTTACTCAGTTACTGTATTTTTTTAAAGTCCAGTCCCCTTACAACACCGTTCTGTGTTTCTATTATTCTGATAAATTTTTTATCATTAAATGACTGAATATATAAAGCAGTTATTTTAAAGTCTATGCATTGGTGCTGGAGGTTTAGCTCAGCGGCATAAGTGCCTGCCTTGCAAGCAGGCAGTCGTGAGTTCGATGCCCGGTACCGATAAAAAGGAAAAAGACAAAAAAATAAAAAAAATAAAGTCTATGCATCTATGTTTTGGTTTGTATCTAGATGTCCCCACAAAGTCTCATGCACTCATACATGGGGCTTTTCTAGTTGGGTGGATCTAGCATATTATACGCAGATTAAGAGTGTGATGCTAGGGTTAAGGGTGCTCCACCTTGGGTGCAGATGGCACCACCCAAAGGGCGGGTAGCATGGATGAAATATAAAAGGCAGAAAGAAGGCTGGCTGTGGCTGTGGCTGTGGCCTCTGCTTGCTGCTGATACTGTTGCTTCCTGCCTTCTGCCTGCCATGTCATGGGCTGTTTTTCACCTGCATACCCCTCTGCCATGCCACGCTGCCTTGGATCCAGCCAATTATGGATTAAAATCTCTGGGGCTGGGGATTTAGCTCAGCGGCATAAGCACCTGCCTTGCAAGTGTGTGGTCATGAGTTCGATCCCTGGTACTGATAAAAATAAAAAAGACCAAAAAAAAAAAAATCTCTAAAACATGAGCTCACAAAGCTCTTCCCTCTTTAACTTTGGGTGTTGGGTATTTTATCTCAGCAATGAGAAAAATAACTAAGACAATCTGATTTTCTTGTGTCTTTTTTTCTTGTTTTTTATCAATCATGATAAATAACAATTTACTGTTGTGGCTAGTAAATTTTGATAGAATTCTAAATATTGTATCTGAAAATTATAAGGATAATTTGTGGCTCTTGTTTAGTAGCAGGCTATAAACTGTGTACTATGGGCTAAATCTAACATACCACTTTTGTGTGTGGGGGGGGGAGGGTTTCTGGTTTAAAAATAATCCCGAGAACATTTGGCAACACACGAAACCTGACTTGTCCTGAGATAGAAAGCCACATGAAAAGAAAGAAGAAAAGGTTTATTGAGCTCAGTTTATGGAGGATACAGTGTGTAATCAGCTGGTTCCAAGGCAGAGTAGCATGACACGGGCAACACTTTAAGGTGACAGAAGACAGCAAAAGTAAAAGAGCACAAAGGGAAAAGTGCACGAGGGAAGCCTTTCTGCCCCTTATCCTGTACATAGCGCACAGTGTACATTTGGGTGTAGCACCAGCACCCCTAATCCCCGCACTGCACCATGAATCAGTTACAGACTCTGGAAGCCTGCTCCTATGACTGCATGACGCTTCAGAGGGATGTCCTGACACAAACCGCAACAGCTTCATTTGCAAGAAACTACACAAGCAATGTTAGAAGTTAATGTGATCACATCTCTAGATTCTCCAGTGGCTTTCTATCTCAGGACAAGTCAGGTCCTTAGAGTTTGTTGGTAGGGCTTGCACAATCTGAATGTTACACGAAGGCGAGTAAAAACAAATGGGTCTGATAACGCACTGGTTTATTTTGCTTCTTGTGCACTAGGACAAAAGTGTAGGATTTTACATTCCACAGAAATATACCAGTTACTAAGAGTTACTTACGTGTAGACATTTTTTTCTGTTTTCACTATTTTTAGATTAAGGTATTCTTACAGACAAGCATCTGTGTTTTGTGTGTACTTCAGTGAGTTTTGAAACATAGATATCTATGTACACATACCTGAGCTGAGATACAAAACATTTCTATTCCACTAGAAAACTCCCTCCTTGACTCTTCTAGCTAATCTACTTTCCACAGAAGTAACCGCTATTCTGATGTCTAGCCCCTTGTTAATTATACTAATTTTAATTTTTTAAATTGTAAACTGTATCATTGCTATTCTGGTAACAACACTGCCACGAGTCTTTGGATGATAATATATTTTTATCATTCAAATCTGGATCTCAATTTTTTTTTAAGGTCAAGTCTACTTGTTGATCTACTGTCAAGTTCACTGCCTCTTTGACGAACAGAACCTATACTGACCGAACTGGCCACACATGATAGGACGGTATAGGCAATCTGGCCTTTTGGGATACTATTGAACTGTGCTAAACTACTTAAAAATTAACTCTTAGAATCCAAACACACATTTCCAGAGCAAGTCACATCTGTTATTTTAATCCTAGTAGCCTTTGAATATCATAAACTGGGAAAGGGGGAGGGCATTATTCTCAATTTACAGATTAGAAAAAATTGAACAAGCAGGTGGTTTGTAATAGAATCCCCTTAGCATTAACCACTGGTGTCAAAACTAGATTTCGCTCATATTCATTCCACTGTCCCATGCTGAGTGTACACAAGAAGCCAGCTTGTATTCTGAAATTAATTTTCTTATTTCTTCTCTGGAAATTCATAGGTTACCCATTCCTTCCATCCGCCAGCATAGTGTTTAGCCCTGAAAAAATTTATCAAGTAGTTAGCATTGCTCACATTTTCCCTTGTTAAATAACAGAAAGTTGATAGGCACTTTAGAGATAATGCAATTACTCTATTATTTAAATTCTAAGCCCATTTAATAGATTGTGATGCTTTTAAGTAAGATGAAAACTTATACACTCTTAAGTCTTATTATCCTATCTTTATAAATGCTAATTAGAAGGCTGTGGTGGTGCTGGGAACTACCCCTGGCTCTGTGCATGTTTAGCGCGTGCTCTACCACTGAGCTATATTCCTAGCCTCAAGAAATGCGTAAGTACATTAAGAAAAATGAAAATAAAATAAAATAAATTTTTAAAATGTCATTAAGTGAATATATTTCAGCACACTCCTTCTCTTCATCACGCACCTGCTGAAGCCCAGAGATGTCGCTGCGTCCAGAGCCTCCTTGCTTCTTATTCCTGCTAAACAAGAAAACACCAGACTGTCTGATTTGGAGGGCTTCACTTCGTGGTACTTCTCTTTGAAGTCTTTTGAGTCCATCTGTAGAGCTTCAGTTACTTCATGCACTGAAGTGGAGTGTTAAGAATTTTAATTAAATTTGGGATACAATTAAGTTGTTGAATAGAGTTTTATTCGGTGTAAAATATATGTTACTTACGTGGTATATTGATAGATCCAGGGATTTTTCCATATTCAAGAATTTCCCATTTTTCTCTAACATCAATTAACATAATATTTTTAGAACTCAACAAGTTTTTAAGTTCCTTGTAAGTGACATCCTTAGAAACAGTACAGAAATTATGGCAGCTTCCCTTTATTGACTTCAAATCTGTGAGGGGGGGACAATTTTCGGTTAGGTGTGGTGGCACATACAGAAATACCAGCACTGTGACCCTCAGCCTCAGCTGAGGCTTGCACTGAATCAAATTGAAATGCAGCTGGACAACTTAGCCCTGTCTCAAAATAACCAAGAAAAGGGGCTGGGATGAATGCACTGGGTTCAATCCTCAGTAACACATACTCAAAATAATAACATTAAATTCCTTGTAGCCCCATTCTCATCCTCTAGAATGGAGAGGGATTGGAAAATGAGATAATAACCAATCACGCTTACATGATGAAACTGCCCCAAGAAACCCCTCAACTACAGAATTCCGAGAGCCTCTGGACTGCTCAGCACATCCACGTGCAAGGGAGAATGGTGCGTCCCCCCGCCGCAGGGACGGAGGCTCCTGCGCTCAGGACCCCGCAGACCTTACTGTGAACTTCCTCCTAGAGCTGGCCACCTGTGACCTTCATTATTCCCTTTAACCACTTAATGGTTTACCCCAAGGGTCACTTGGCCACTTGCACTTGTGATTGTCAATTAGTGTCATTTGTGCAGGTGTCATTTCAACAAGTCGATTCTTATATTGAATATATTTCATAAAATTATTTTGTATTTCCTGTTATAAAAATAACAAAAAATAGGTGATTTTTGATCATCCTATATTTAAATAATTGAACTGGTATGTGGTTAAAATAAACTGATAAAGGTGCTTCCCTCCATTCTGTTAGCCATTCTAGCAAATTATTTAACCTGAGGAAGAGCTCATAGAAACCCCAGATTTACAGCCAGTAGGTCAGAACTGTGGGAAGCCCAGAATTTTGACGTGTGTCTAAACAAGAGATTGTCTTGTGGCACAATCCTTAAACTGTTATGTCAATTCCTCTTAGTACAGTAGTTCAAAGGGGAAACTGTAGAACACCCCGTTGTATCCACAGAGACTTGCTTAGTAGACAATTCACACCTTTAGTGCCAGAAGTGCTTCTATCAAGGATGAGGAAATAGGTCTGTGGTAGAGTGCTTGCCCAGCTTGAATGAGGCCCCACATTCAATCATTAGCACTGGAAAACAGACTGTGAATAAGTACAGAAAAAGAAATCTTCCCACTTATGCCCAAAGCCTGACTCTAAACAGCAAGATCCAAGCTGTCTCTTTGTCACTGTGCTTGATGGTTAACCTGCCCACTCCGTATTCTACTTTCTGAAAGCCCTTTATTTAGCAAAAGCATTTGGTAACACTTATGGAAATAATTCTTTAATCTTATTATAACCCATGGCAATGTTCCGAAATTTTTATTTCATTTTACTTTTCAAGTAGAAATAGTAAGTCATACATTAGACGTGCAGAACTCACATTTGAAATTTACACTGGTAAGTACCACATGGTAATGTTCCTACCTCTGTTAAACAACTGGTAACATAACATAGTAGTGGCTAACAACTCATGAGAGAAATCCATAGTCCAGACTGATAATAAAGATCTATCTGAATAAATAAATAAGGGGAGGAGAAAGGATCCTCTTCCTTACATCAGAACCCCACTTGGTAAACACAGAAGAAATGATGGAAACAAAATCATGAGCAGACTCTCCGGTAACAATTGTTGCTCTGAAAAGTCTAGATTTAACAGATAAAACTATGACAAGAAATGGGATACCATTTCCTCATGAGAGGGTTATTAATTGAGATACCAGTTGAACAAGCTATTCAAAAACTTCACTGTAGTAAGCCAAGTTGGTAACATGTAGTTTCTTGACTTCCTGACGTGATGCACTAAGGGGAACACACCACTTCTTGGTATGCTGGCAAAAATGCATGCCCTAATCAGAATTTAATAAACAAATCCAATGTACAAAATAAAGCTGGGTGTGGTGGCACATGTTCATGGAGGAGACTGGGGCAGGAGACGGAAGCAAGTTCAAGGCAGCCTGGGCTGAGTAGGACCTTGTCTCCAAATACCAAAAACAAAACAAAGCAAAAACATACACAATAACTAGTCTTAAGAATTATCAATGTCATGAAAGATAAAAACTGGGACTGTCAGGCTAGAGGACACTAAGAGATATGATAACGAATGTAGGATCCTCCGTTTGGTCTGAAGTTATAGAAAGAACTATAATGTGAAACTGGTGAAATTTCATTGTGATAGATTTAGCAGTATTGTGTGAATAATCATTTCCTGATCACAATGATGGTGTCACACACAATATTTACATCAAGAGAAACTGAGTAGGCCCCAGGATTTAGCTCAGCGGCGTAAGTGCCTGCTTGGCAAGTACGAGGTCATGAGTTTGATCGCTGATACCAAAAAAGAGAGAGAGAGAGAAAGAGAAACTGAGTAAGAACAAAGGGAACTGATTTATGTTTGTAACTTTTCTAGAGTTCTAAAATTATTTCAACAAAGAAAAGTAAAGGATTTTGAAAGAAACCAAAGAAGTTAATATTCATATTTTACAACAAAAAGACTACTATAAAAGATAAATAATGGTATTTCATGACTGGGAATGGAAAATAATGCCTCAAATTTTGTTTAGAGTATTATGTACAAAGTTATTTAAATATTGTAGAACTGGGAAAGGAAAGACTTAAAGATCTGAGTCTAGAATGAGACCCATAATGTTCAGTCTGTAGCAACAACAACAGAGACAGACACAGAGACAGAAAGACAGAGAGAAAGTAAAAGAGCTTCTGACCAATTTCCAGGAGAGGAGAAATCTTAGGCATGGGTATCACACAGTTAAATAACTTTCTGCAGATAAGGGGGCTGAAAAGCAGCAAAGCTGGGGTTCGGATCCACGCGGTCCAGCTTCACAGTCTGCTCCGAACTCTAACGTAGTCTCTAGGCTTTAAGAGGGGTATGCGACAAGTTGCTTATCATCGCCAAACCTAATTTGAGAAGAACTTCTACTCTTCAAAGGTTTTGGATAGAGAGGTGTCCGTGCCAAGTGCAGAACTTCTCACCATGGCTCAGGCAGAGCAAAAGCTCACAAAGCAAATGGGAACTGCTCACTGCTTGCTTCCTGCCAAGCTACATGACACAAAAGGATAAATTATAAAGGTTTGTCCTTATAAAAATGCTAAATTTGCCTGCCTGGCAGGTGCGAGGTCATGAATTCAAGCTCCAGTTCCAAAAAAAAGGGAATACAAAACAAAACAAAACAAAACAAAAAGATTTTAAAAAATGCTGTATTTATATATCGAAAATGTACAATGACAATTTGAAGACAGTTGGCAATCAGAAAATATTTGTCATCGAGCAAAAAGACTGAAAATACAGTCAGAACCTTTGACAAAGTTATACAAACGAATGTGGCCTTATTTGAGATGAAAATGATAATTCAGAAGAGCGTTCTTAAGACAGTTCAGAGAACAGTTATGTCACAGCCCGAAAATGAGGGTAACAGAGTCACTGTGAAGTCCTAATTCGCAAGGCAGGCTAGGCCAGACGGAGGTGCTGAGTAGTCCAGAAACTGAGAACAGGGAAGAATGAAATAAGTGATCTAAACATTAACAGGTGACACATCTGCTAATTCTGTAAAAAGAATTCGGATCTGGGTGTTCTACATTTCTAGGGCCTGCATTTCTCTTACATGTTAAAAGAAAAACTTCAGACAAATATAGCAGTTTGAGCAAAGAAAAACTCGTGAACTGGGCAGCATTCTAGATGGAAAGGAATTCAGAGAGCTCTTCTGGGTAGCAGAGCACCAAGATTTTATAGCTAAACATGGAAAGTACAGAAAAACTTAATTAGTTACACTGAGATTTTTTTTTGGGGGGGGGGGGTCTTTTTCGTTTTTATCGGTACCAGGGATCAAACTCACGACTGCCTGCTTGCAAGGCAGGTGCTTATGCCGCTGAGCTAAATCCCCAGCCCCTACACTGAGATTTTTGCCTTGTTTGGAGATGGCCTGATCCACTGGGGGCTCAGACTGGCAGAAGCACACATTTGTGCTGGGCTGAAACCTAGATGTTTGTTACAAAAATATGTTCTTATTTGACTCTTAAACATTTTTTCTTTATTAATCAAGATATACACTGTGATTATACTAGTTTATCAAAATTTGGCAATGTAGGCTGACTCTAATTAACACTGTTATTTCAAAATAACTAGAAGAGTTTGAATGTTTCACTACAGTAAGATGATAAATGTTTGAAGTGATAGGCACATTAATTACCTTAAATTGATCATTATTCAAGGTTTACAGGTATCAAACAAGATATTCTATGCCATAAATGTATACAATTATATGTCAGTTTAAATAAATAGAAAAAAATACAATCCTAAATCAGTTTATTTTTGTATTACGATACGCTGTGGCGACTGACAGTATCAGAGACAACCTCAGGAGAATGACGTTGTGTTATTTTCTTAAAATATTAGATATATGGTGTTTCTCAGAGAAACCAAAGTTGGCTTTTAAACATCTGACATGTATAGCATTTTGGGTCTCTCAAAGGAAGACTGATCTTTGTTCTTGTGATAAAGAGATTTAGTGTTTGAAAAGAAGAAGAAGGAGGAGGGAGGAGATAGAGGAAGGGAAAAAAAAGGAGATCCACTGCATACCCAGCAGGAGAACTCTGTGCCAGTGAACAATAGCATCTCAAATTAATAGGGAGGAGATTTTATTGAACAGATAATATAGAGCAGTTGCCTAGGAGAAAACTTTAAGTACATAAAATTACCTCATTCTTTATGCTTAAATTCCAAATTTAAATCTAAAAGCTAACATTTTAAAAGTACTCATAGCGCTTTTAAGTGGATAACTTAAGCCTTGGACAAAGAGGCCATGCTACATGACACGAAAAGTATAAGTTATAAAAGTTTGTCCTTCCAAAAATGCTAAATTTGTCTGCCTGGCAGGCGTGAGGTCGTGAGTTTAATCTCCGATTCCAAAAAAAAAAAAAAAAAAAAAAGAAAGAAAGAAAGAAAATACAAACAAAACAAAACAAACAAAAAAAGATTTTAAAAAATGCTAAATTTATATATAGAAAATGTACAATGACAATTTGAAGACAGTTGGCAGTCAGAAGGAAAATATTTGTAATCCAGCAAAAAGACAAAAGGTTAGTTTTGGGGGTTTTTGTTTGTTTTCTTGTGTTTTTGAGACCAAATTTCACTATGCAGGTCACGTTGGCCTTGAACTTATAGTGATCCTCTGGCCTCAGCTTCAGAAGGTTAGTATTAATAAAAAGAGCTCACACAAATAACTAGGAAAAGAATAAAATGGAATTGTCCAAAGTGTAGTATTAAAGATGAAAAACAAAAACTAGTTGGAAAAATGTAAACCTAACGTTTTCTCTCAGTTTACAATGCCCTTAGTGTTTAAGTAATTTATTTGCAGTATTCATAGGCTAAGAGAAACACCTAGCAGTTCTATTTATTAGGTCAAATAATCAAGCAAAGCCAAAGGAAATTATAAAAAAAGTATCTGTAAGCATCAGACATTTCTCATTTTCATTTGTCATTCTCACTGATAGCAAAGTGATAAAAAAATGGACAGTTACAATAGTTTAAAGATACAGGCTTCCAGCAATTTCACTCACAAGTATATGCTAAAAAGAGTTGAGAACAGGGGCTCCAACAGGTATTAGAACACTAAGGTGCCTAGAACTATACACAGTACCAAAAGGTGGAAATAACCCAAGCATTCATTGAAAATGGGTAGATAAGCAAAATGCTTAAGCCATCAAAGCCGGAGTGAAGTTCACGACACGTGCTACCATGTGGACAAAACGTGAAGGCATCACCTGAAATGAAAGCAGACAAACATAAAAGGACAAATATTATATAGTTTCGTTTATATGACGTATTTAGAATAGATGAGTTCAGAGGTAGGGTAGAGGTTGTCAGAGGTAGGAGGGAGGAAGGAGAGGGTTAATGCATAATGGCTGTAGAGCTGCTGTGGGCACCGATGAAACATTTTGGAAGTAGAAAGTGGTAACAGTTGCACAAAATTGAGAATGTAATTAATGCGAATGCATTCAACAGAAAAATGGTTAAAATAGCAAATTTTACATTATATATATATATATATATATATAATTTTTTTTTTGTCTTTTTCCTTTTTATTGGTACCGGGGATCGAACTCACGACTGCCTGCTTGCAAGGCAGGCGCTTATGCCAGAGCTAAATCCCCAGCCCCCTCATTATGTATAGGTTTAACAGAATAAATGTCAAAGTAAAAATAGATATTTTCTCATCTCTTTTAGATTTCGAAAATTTGGCTCATTTTTGTCTACAAAATTATATCTTAAAATACCTGGAATTAAACTATTTAAGAGCGAGCGGGCTACTTCTCATTGATAGTAACTGGAAGACTAAGTGATACTACAAAAATACTGGCTATCAATCACTACAGTGAAAATGTTAAACTCACTTCTGGCATGTAGCCAGTAGAAAACATAATCATAGCAAGTAAATTGTGAAACTAAATCAAAGAAAATTACATTTCTCCTGTAGAGTCATCAAACGGATCTGTATAATTCAGCAATACTTGGCAGGTCCAGAGGAGGAAATAATCAATGAAGACTGAATTTCCTGCTTTTCCACTTAATGAGCAACATCCTGAAGCAAGCATGTTCTCTTGATGAGTCTCAGCACCCCCAAACCTCTCAGGCTATGCACGTCTATTCCACTCTACTGACACACCTGTTGATATCCTCTACTTCTAAATTCTCTACTTGTAAATCATATCCTCTTGTAAAGTCATCGATTTAATCTGATGCACAACCAAAGTAATACTGCTTTATTTTTACACAGAGGAGAAACTGGCTATTTGGAATTTGCTGAGAGATAATATGTGGTTCTCTTAAAGAATATTTTAAAGAGTAAAAAAGGTTAACCTTTTTTTTTTTTTTTAACCTTGTAGCCTAACCCTGGAATACACTGTAATTTTGTTGTTTTCACAGTGGTAAGTTTTTTACCTGGCTATTGTCCACAGCATACATTACAGGATACAGCCCAAGCTCTTTAGTTCTAAAATGCCCTCCAGTGTGTTACTGTGTGGTTTAAATAAAGTCAATGTATATGCTGTATAATCAACAATTACCTATTTCTACTTTTTTCATGATTTACACACACAGATTGTCCTACAGGGAATATTTCCCCCTGGTGTCTATAGGGAATGCGTTCATTCTCTTTTAAGATCTAGTTAAATGTTAGCTGTCACCTCTCTAATTCTTCCTCTAGTTACCTATCCTAGTAAAAGACTCAGCTCATATACACAATAATTACTAAAGAACTGTTTGCATAGCAAAAACCTGGAAACCAAGACCTTCATCAATTAGAGAGAGGTTAAATAATCTGCAGTCTACTGGTACTATGGAATAAATGCGGAGTCAGAAAACTGAATACTTGCAACAGAATAACAGTATCCACAGGTCCGTTTAGCGTACAGCAGCACTGTATGTGCGCACATCTATGAATGCATACTGGTGAAAGAGTCTGGGAAAACATGTGCTAAATCATATCTCTGGAGAGGAGAGTGGGATGGGGAGATGTATAAAGGGAGACTTATGCTGTGTTCATTTATTTAAATGAAAATACGAAATGTTCACAGCACACTCGCCTAACTTCTAAAAGGAAAACGGCACCATACTCTGCCGTTTCCTCTAACTCGAGCAGACCGTCTTCTTCCCGCTGCAGTCCGGCTCCACCGGGCTGTGCACAGCGCTGACTGTGCTGTCTCCCCACAAACAGGAGAGCTTCTCAGCTTCGGGGCCTGTGTCCCAGGAGGCGGCCTGCCGGGTTAGACGCCTAATACGTGACTGTGCACAAGGGTAAAAGGAAACAGGAGTTTGTACAGGAAGCGCATCTACAGCACCGAGAACCTGAAGAGGGCGCGGGAGGCCGCAGCCAGCTGCAGAGCTGCAGCAGCTGCGCGCACCGGGGAAGCGCGCGCAGAGCCCGGGCAGCTGCGCCCCAGAGCCCGGGGTGGCTCGGCCTGCACCGCACCTCCGCCCGCCCGCCCGTCACCCCGCCCTGGCCCGCAGTCACCGCGCCAGGGGGCAGCCCACGCCCAGGGGCCGCTCCGCGCCCAGCCCCCGCGGCCCCCACTGCTGCGCCCAGCCGCGCAGCTCCCACAGCCGGCGTCCGAAGGGACAAGAGGGGAGCCCGGACGCCGCCCGGCCCGGAGCCGGAAGCCCAGCGCCCGCCCTCTCCCAGGGAAGCTCACCGCCGAGGGCGGCTTGCAGACGCCGCAGCCAGGCCTGGCGCACGCTGGGGGGCAGCAGCCCGCGCATGGTCCCCCGGGCGCCGTGTCTCCCCGCAGACCGCTTCCTCCGGCCCTCCTCCCTCCCCTTCCTCCCCGCCCCCGCTCCTCCTCCTCCCTTCCCCTCCCCTCCCCCCAGCTCGCTGCCCCCAGCCGGTGCCCAGCGTTGGCCTAAATGTGCTAGATCTTTTGCTTTGAAGGGGACCAAGAAGTGTAGGGAAGAAGGAGGGGAGCAGTTGGTGATGAAAAAAGAATTAAGGTGTGTTAGGTCCAAGTACCCACTCCCCCCACGTTTAATATAATTACTATGTACTGCAAACTCATACTAATGACAATAACAATTTTAAAACTTCAAATCATATATGGAAATCCTGATGCTTTCTTTTTTAAAGGATAGTGTTTAAAAGTGAAAATTAGAGGCTGGAGATTTAGCTCAGTGGCATAAGCGCCTGCCTGGCAAATGTAAGGTCCTGAGTTAGATCCCAGGTATCACAAACAAAAAAAAGGGGGGGAAATTAGAAAACTTTAAAGTAAATAAGACTCAATTTTTAACATGGTTTCCATACATTGGGTATTGGATGAGTTTAAAGGTTTTGTTATTGCTGTTACAGTGCTGGGAATTGAACCCAGGGGCCTTTCCACTGAGCTGTATCTTCATTCCAACCTCCAGCCTCCTCTTTCACTTTTATTTGTTAGTACCTGTTTGCACTGTGTGCATCTTACAGTGATCTTACCGTTGGTATTTGAGTGGGACCGCACTGACTCTTCTGGTTTCCCCAGCACCACTTGTGAACCTGCTGTCTTTTCTCCAGCATCTGCCTTTGGCCCTTTGTCGGATATCAAATAGCTGACTGTGTCTGAGGAAGTTTCTGTGTCCCCAGCTCTGTTCCGTCGATCCATGTTTCTGTCTTTGTTCCGGTATCATGCTGTTTTCGTCACTATTGCTTTCTAGAATAGCTTGAAGTCAGTATTGCTATGCCTCCTGCTTTCCTCTTCTTGCCTAAAATTGCCTTTGCTATTCTGGCACTCTTCTGGTCTCATATGAATTTTAGGGTTATTTTTTCTAGATCTGTAAAGTGTGCTGTTAGTATTTTGACTGTGACTGCATTGAATCTGTATGAGTTTTGGGAATAGGACGATTTTGACAATATGGCTTCTGCCTACCCAGGAAAAGGGGACAGCTTTCCATTTTCTGTTGCCCACTCGTCTCCTGTTTCAGAATAATGTAATTTTCTTTATATGGCTCTTTACTTCCTTGATTAGGTTATTTCTAGATATTTCATTTTTCTTAAAACTACTGTGAATGGCATTATTTTTGTAATTTCTGTCTCGTCCTATTCATTGTTGGTGTACATAAATGCTAATGATTTTTGTGTGTTGATCTCGTAACCTGCTATACCGGGTTCTGACCTAGATCCCCGATCTCCCCAACAAGTGTATGGCAGAGGTTAAATAAAAAGAGGCAAATTGTATGATTTGTAGGGCTCCAGGAGGGTCAGAACCCTTTAATTAAGCTCGAGGCTTCAAGGGTAAAGACAGGATTCTCTGGGTCAGTCCACTTGTATTAGGACCAAGGACAAAGGTGGAGAGACCGAGGAAAGTGCAGGCAATGAGCAGGACCTTGGGAGTCACTTCAAAGACGTCTCCAAGTCATGAATCAAGTCAGTTCAGCAGCACTGTCTTATCATGAAGACATGGTAGAAGTGAGACTGTAGGAGTCATCTTTACAGCTGCAGTCTCTACCTTGTTAATTGAGGTTGGAGCCAGAGTGTCTGCAGCTGTGGCCTTCTCTTGCCCTTTGAGGTATCTCCGGCCTCACAGGCCACTACAGGCCTCAGCCAGGACCAGTGACTCATAGAAGTTCACTTACTATGAATCAGCTCCTGTCACCAGGCCAGGGGCCTAGGCCTAGGACAGACTCACAGAGAAACATAGAAAGCCAATTAGTAAAATTTAAATCCTGCTCAGAGCCACTTCATAGTGGTCTGCAACACTGCTACATGGTTGACGTTTGTTATTATTTCTAAGACTTTTCTGGTGGATTCCTTTGGATTTCCTATATTGAGGATTGTGTAATCTGCAAATAATGATAATCTGAGCACTTCCTCTTCTAAAGTATCCCTTTTACTTCTTTCCCATGCCTCATTGATCTTGCTAGTGTTTCAAGTACTATGCTGAATAGAAGAGATGATAGTGCACATCCTTGTTTGGTTCCTGACTTAGGGGGAATACCTTTAGCTTTTTCCCATTTATTATGATAGTGGCTATTGGTTTGTCATATATGACTTTTATCATACTCAGAAATGGTCCTTGTATGTTTGTTTTCTTCAGGGTTTTTTCATGAAACAATGCTGGATTTTGTTAAAAGCCTGCTTCTTAATTAGATTTTGTCTGCATTTATTTATATGATCACATTGTTTTTGACCTTGGTTCTGTTTATGTGCTGTATTACATTTATTGGCTTACGTATGTTGAATCTTCCTTACATCTTTGGGATAAAATCTACTTTATCATGATGTATGATCTTTTTAATAATGTGCTGCATTCTATTTGCTGATTGTTGAGAACTTTTGTTTCTGTGTTTGTTAAGGAAGTTGGCCTCTAATTCTCTTTTTCAGTTAGCTCTTAGGTAGTTTTGAAGTCAGGATGGTATTGGCTTCCATAAATGAGTTTGGGAGCACTCTATTCCTTTCAGTTTTTTTGAAGAGCTCAAGAAGTATTAGTGATAGAACATCCTTAAAGTTTTTATAGAATTCAGGCAGTCATTCATCAGGTTCTGAGCTTTTTTTTTAAAGTTGGTAGTCTCAGGGGCTGGGGATTTAGCTCAGTGGCATAAGCGCCTGCCTTGCAAGCAGGCAGTCATGGGTTCGATCCCCGGTACTGATAAAAAGGAAAAAAGACAAAAAAAAAAAAAAAAAAAAAGTTGGTAGCCTCTTTGTAACTGTCAATTTACTGCTTATTGTTGGGTTGTTAAATATGTTTCTACCCTCTTTGGTTTGTTTTGGTAGTTTGTATGTCTAGGAATCTGTCCTCTTCTTCACGATTTATTTAATTATTGGAATGTAATTTTTCAAAGTAATTACCATATATCTTCTGGATTTCCACAGTATCTGTTGTAATTTCACCTTTTTAATTTCTAATTGGATCTATGTGAGTCTTTTCTGGCTTTCTCTTGGTATATCTGGATAGGGGATTATCTATTTTATCTATTCCTTCAGAGAACCTGCTCTGTGATTTATTGATTTTTTAACCATGTTTAAAACATTGAGGCTTAAAGCCTCAATTTCATTGATTTCCACTCTCATCTTTATAATTTCCTTCTTTAATTTTGTTTTGGATTAGTCTTTTGTTATTTCTCAAGTGTCTTAAGATTTCTCACAAGATTGCTATTTGAGTGTGCTCTGTTTTCGTGATGTAAGCATTGATTGCAAGGAGTTCTCCTCTTAGAACTGGGTTCAATGTGTCCCAAAGGTTTCAACATGGTATTTACTTACGCAGGCTTCTGGACTAGAGTGTGTCCATCTTGCAGAAAGTACCAAAGCAGATCACTCTAAATAAATTCTGCTGAAAAGAATATGTCCTCTGTTGTGTATGTATGTATGTATATATATATAATTTAAGTCCATATGTTCAAGGATATAGTTCAGCTCTGAAACTTCTTTGTTGGTTTTTTGTTTAGTTGGTCTCTGCAAAAGTGCAGTGCTAAAATCCCCTACAATGATTGTGTTAGTGCTAATTTGATCTTTTAACTTGAGCAGTTATTGTTTTATGAAGACAGGTGCTCCAGGACTATGTATATATTTATCAAAGTTATCTCTCCTTGTCAGATTGTTTCCTTAACTAGTATATAGTGACCTTTGTCTCTTCTAGTCAGTTTTAGCTTGCAGATTACTATGTCCGATTGTTACCTTTGCTTATTTTCAGGGTCTTGATCCATGAAATGTTTTCCATCCTTTAATTTTTAGTCTATGAATGGCTTTTTGGTGTTTCTTGGATGCAACAGATTCTTGAATCCTGTTTTTCATCCAATCTGCCAGTCTGTGTCTTTTAACCGGAGAGTTGAGGGCATTAACATTGAGCAATTTACTAAGATGTGTATGTTATCATTGACGCTTTTTTCTGTTGGTGTATCCTTTGTTTTTTTTTCTTGCCGTTTTTGTTGTTGTTGTTGTCATTGGTGCTGTTGCTGTTTGTCCACTGACCTCACTAGTTTCCTCTGATTTAGCTGTGTCCAATTTTTTGTTTCTGTCAAGAATATTCTTTAGTATTTTCACTAGAGCAGGTTGAGCACTCCTAAACCATCTGAGCTGGTCTTTTCATAAAAATACTTTATTTCATGAAAATAGGGCTGGGGATTTATCTTAGTGGTGTAAGTGCCTGCCTGGAAAGTGCAGTTGTGAGTTCGGTACCAAAAAAACCAAAACAAAACAACAACAACAACAAAAAAACCCCTTTATTTCTCTCTCTATAGATATATATTTCTTTTTCTTTTTCTTTTTGAGTCAGGGTCTCACTATGCAGTTCAGGCTGGACTTCAATTCACTTTGTAGCCCAGGCTGGCCTTGATCTTGCAGCAGTTCTCCTGCTTCAGCCTCCTGCGTGCTGGGATTACAGGCATGTGCTGTATCACACCAGGCTATCTCTATTTATTTTTGAAGAACATCTTTGCTAGGTAAATTAATCTGAGTTGGAGCTATTTGCTTTTAAGGCTTGAAATACTGCACTCCAAGCTCTCCTAACTTTCACAGAGTGTACTGAGAAATATGGGGTGATTCCTTCCAATTGGTTTCCCTTTACATGTGATTTTTTTTTGTTTTTAAAATTGTTTTTTTCTCCTGCTGTATGTCTACTAATTTGGTGGACTTTTTTCACCACAGCCTCTTTTTGAGGATTCATATCTTTGTTGAATCTATAATTCAAATTTTGAACTGTTTTGGTTCAAATTATGTCAACTGGAGTATAAATGCCCAACTAAATCGGCTCAGCATAGTTCTGGGTGTTGAAAACCCCCGTGAAGGAGGATTGTCACCTGAGTGTATGAAATCAAAATGAAGAAGGGAGGCCTGCTCTGTTTCTTCGGAGGAGCTCCCATCTTTGCCTTCTTCTAGGATGTTGTCTCCTGGCTTCCAGCGAGACTTTCCATCCTTCCCTTGCAGATTCTTTGGCCTCCTGATAAGGACTCACATGGAACACGACCCTGAGCTCAGGCCATGATTGGATCCTTCGGCTCTCCAGCACACAGACAGCTCTCTGCACTCTTCCACACCTGACTCTGTGAGCAGCCATCATAAGTCAGTCTTGTAAATTCTTACGCATTTGTATATCTTGCATAAATCATTCTCTAGTAAATGCTGACCTATACACACAGCTGCAAACGGAAGAATAGGAAAGCAAGGAAATAGAGCATCTCTGAACCCCTCCTGATCTCCCCAAGGCAGAGCAAGGGGTCACAAAGGGAGAAGAAAACAAATACTAGGTAACAAGTCTATGACAAGTTCATACAAAGGATAAGAAAATAGATGGGTTCAAAGAGGAAAAGAATCAAAAGGCCACAGCAATTACAGTCAGTATACCTACAGTAAATTTCTGGGAAATTTCAGTGAAAAATTGGACCAGCTAACCAAAACAGTTCAAAATTTGAATTATAGATTCAACAAAAATATAGAATCCTCAAAAAGATGTCAGACAGAAATAGCTAAAATAAAAAACTGTATAAACTTCATATATTACAGAAATGACCAATGTGAAGACAGTGTTTGATACTGAGAACAAATTAGTGGATTACAAAAAAGAGGTCAAAAAATGCAAAAAGAAAATAAGAGAATAAGAGAAGACTGTCTAACAACTACTGAACGTCAACAAGACCAGTCTAAGGCTAATCAGAATTAGGAGATAGCATAAATAGATTCACTAACCTGCTTACAGGAATCATGGAAGAAAATTTCCCAAGTACGAGAAAAGTCAATTTGTAAATTCTTACACATTTGTATATCTTGCATTAAATCTGATTCTCTAGTAAGTGCTGACCTATACACACAGCTGCAAATAGAAGATTAGGGAAGCAAGGAAATAGAGCATCTCTGAACCCCTTCCTAATCCCCCCAAGGCTGAGACAGGAGAATGGTTTGCAAATTCGAGACCAGCCTGGGCTACAAAGTGAGCCCAAGGCCCGCCTAATCTGCATAACTACATAGCCAGATCCTGTCTCAAAAACACTGTCAAAAAACTAAAAAACATTTAAAAAAAAAACTAAAAAAAATAAAATGTTCCCTACTTTATCTCTATTAAAGTGTCATTCACCTTGCAAGCAGGCAGTCGTGAGTTCGATCCCCGGTACTGATAAAAAGGAAAAAGACAAAATAATAATAATAATAAAGTGTCATTCACATTTACTTATTATGTTGATCTCATCCCCTTCCCAGAAACAAAGGCAAAGACCCTGATCAGCCTAGACCAGCAATTGGAGAAACAGTTATTTTCAGCAATCAGCATATCCCTGTAAGTATGAAGTACCTCTCATACTCACTGGACATCCTGAGTGTGAGGCCCCCTATCTTGTGGCATCACCCTGCTGCTAAGATAGTTTCTTTTCTGCATTTGCCACACTTTAAATAAACTTTTGTTTCCCGCTATACCAGCCTTGACTCCCTCATTTTTCGCTAAGAGCCATACTTCTCCATTCTTGGCTAAAGTGAGAGCGAGGACCTGAAAGGGGGGCGGGGGGGGGGGGAACCACTCAGAGACCCCCTACCAGGGCTAGGCCGATCTGTCACAGTGGTATTTATCAGGGATAGCTGAGAAGTAACATACCATGAGACCTTGTTGTGGGTCTCCCTTTAGCCTAGAGAAGAAATCCATGATTATAGACTAAGCGTCATAACAACCCAAGTCTTGACCTAGAGTTAGTGTGCACTAAATGTTGCGGCTGTGCCTCCTCTGTAAACTATACTGGGGGATAAAAGGCCAGAGGAATGCACAGACACACTCATTAAAGAAAAAGGGTAAAAGAATAAAAGTGTGGAGGAAAATGTACAGAAGGAAAATAGCAAAGAGTAAAAAAAAATTTAAGTAAAATAAAAAATTTTAAAATGCTACAGTCAAATAAAAAAAAATAGAACATATCGCATTATTCTGGCCTCATGGCTCTTCCTCAGGCTAGAGTTAAGGAGCAGAGGTGAGGCAGGATGTGCCTCCGTGCACACTGGGCCGCGACCATTGCAGTCGTACCCAGAGCAGCACTGGGCACAGAGACCGGGAAAGTGCCACCAATGCAAGCTTCCCATTCTGTGTACTCAGGGGAACCTGGCCTCTAACTGCAGGAACTAGGTCTGTATTCACCAGCCCACACCTCTCAGCAGGACCCCCCAGTTTTTTTTTTTTTTTTTTTTTGTCTTTTTCGTTTTTATCGGTACCAAGCAGGTAGTCGTGAGTTTGATCCCCGATACCGATAAAAAGGAAAAGACAAAAAAAAAAAAAAAAAAAAAAAAAAAGGATGCGGAGAGAGACTCCATGACCTCGGGGGTCTGGCTTTCTCTCTGCCCCACACGGTGGGGTGGGGGTGGTTTGGGGTGGAGCCTAAGGGGCATTACTGATGCACAGGTAGCCCTTTGGAATTCATTTCACACCACAGGTAAATTGCCTAGGGGCGGGAAGGTGACCTTCAGCCTCCCAGCGCCTTCCACCGCTACAGCGACCCCTTTAGGGCAAAATCCTTTCAGATCCAAACAAAGAGCTGTACAGCTCTTAGGGCATTTTCCTTAATTTTGCACGTCTTTCCCGCTTCACATTGTGTCAGATCCAATATTAAAGTACATGAAAATTTTTGATTTATAGACTATTTGACTTCAAAATTGGTTGAACAGAACAGTAGTTTAAAAAGAAAAAGAAAATAAAGCCTTCCCAGGCGGTAAAAGCCTATAATCCTGGTAATCTGGGAGGCTGACACAGGAGGATCGAAAGACGAGCACTACCCCAGTAAGTTAGCGACTTTGGAGAGACCTTGTATCAAAATAAATAAAACAAATAAAAGTGCAAATGGGCTGTAGGTGTAACTGAGTGAGAAGACCTGGCTTTAATTCTCAGTGCCTTTACAAAAAGGAAAAGAATGTACAGTACATGTCAGATGTGACCAGGGATGTAGCTCAGTGGCACAGCACCTGCCTGCCAAGAGCAAGGTCCTAAATTCGATTTCCTGTTGCCCCCCCCAATTAAATGTCAGAAGTGATTTTAGAATTCAAAGGAGGATGGCAGAGAAGGTGTAAGGTGTTCCAGAAGACATCAGCAGTAAGTGAGACCTCGGCACAGGGTGCATCTACCGTTGCCCCAAGGACGAGCCCAGCGGTCCCTGCAGCCCAGCTCCGGACGCCGCCCTGACGGAGGCCCCGCCCAGTGGGGCGCTGCGCAGGCGCAGTCGGCCCTGGTTTTAGACGCGGCGGCCCGGCCGGGCGGGGTGAGTCGGCGGCTTCGCGTGGGGTCCCGGCCGCTGGGTGTCAGCTTCGGGATCCGGGATCCGGGATCCGGGCCCCCTCCCCGGCGGGCGGGCAGGCGGGCGGGCCTGAGAGAGCTCCGCGCGCAGTCTCGCTCTCCTCACCCCTGGGGGCGCCGGGCCCAGCGTTCCCCGCTCGGTTCTGAGGGCGGCGGAGGCGCCCGCGTGCGGCCCAGCGCGGACCGCGGCTCTGCGGCCTCCCCGCGGGCCTCCCGCGCCCCTCTCGGGCCGAACGCGGGCGCCGGCTGGGCCGGGGGGAGCAGGCTGAGCAGCCGGGCTGCGGCGGCCCTTGTGCTCTGCGGCCGGAGCTCCCCGGTGCACGGCCCACCGCCTCTCCCCGCCTGGGGACGCTTGGTAGCGTTTAGTGTCTGTTTCAGCTTCAAGTGGAAAATGGGAAAGTAGTTGTGAGGATCGAGTGGGTTGGTATCTAGGAAGTGTGTAGAATTGGAGCACGATACACAGTGAAACTGTTTTGAGCCTGGTTGTCTGTAAAGACTGATTCCCTTTCCTTTTCCACTGACCCCGGAAAAGGCGGATCATATTTTTTGGGTTTTTATTTGTATAGTCTGTTTAAAACAAACTTTTCAAACAAGTTATTTACCCATCCTAATCTAGAAGGGGGAAAAAGATGTTAGGTGCTGCTGATGTTTGAAAACTGTAGTTTTAAGTATGGAAAACTATGAAAAAAATGGACAGCATAAATATTTGTGTTGAAGAGTTAACAAAGCAGGCCTGAGACTGCTACCCTACTTTGAAAGGTCTGCTTGCAACCTTGGCCCTCCTTGGGTCTCAGGGAACTTGGGTTTGGGAAGTGTTTTGACCTGAGGACTATTAGTTTATGCTTAATACTATGTTTCATTCTGAAATTATCAGCTTCATAAAAATCCTGGGCTTCAGGTTTTTCACAGACTTCCCTGGCCAGAGGCATTGGCTACATGTTGTTGCATATTCTTTGCTGCAAGGGAAAGTGCTGTGTTAAAGCTAACCCTAACCTCACCTGCAAAGGAAGCAGGGTAAGGAACCCTGTATGTACAAGATCCTCTAGACTCCCCCTGTTCTCCATTGTGATTCATTGTATATATTCATACAGCATTGCTAATAAATGTCAGCTGTGAGTACAACTGAGCCGAGTCCTGTGAATCCTTCTGGCCACTCCAAATTCGGGAAGTGAAGGAGGTGTCTTGAAGATTCCCAGACAAAATTTTGATGACAAGAAGTATGTGCAGCTCTGATAATTGCAATTTGCCCTCCCCTTTTTGGCCTTAGATGGAAATTGGAAAAGAAACTGTACAGAATTGCTGTACTGCGGGTTACTGGACCAAATAATTCTGTTATGTTTATATGTAAAGTCCAAAAAATGTTTATACTTAAGGTCAGAAATTGGGCCCTCTAGAGCCAGACAAGGTGACACATTCTTGTAATCCCAGCACTCTGGGAGACTGAGGCAGGAGGATCACAAATTGAAGCCTAGCCTGGACAATTTAGTAATTTAACCCCTTTCTAAGTAAAAAAAAAAAAAAAGCCAGAGATGTAGCTCAGTGGAAAGTCCTGGGTTTAACCCCAATACAGGGTGAGGGGTGGAAGATTTGTCCCTCCACTGCCAAAAGGCACAAGTTGTTTGCAGTACTTTATATGTGAGATTCCTGATTCTGTGTGTTTTGCTAGCATCTGGATGTCAAACTTTATCAAAGATTTATCCATAACAAAAGGGAAATGTATTACTATTTCTCTTCATGCCTCTCTCTTCAGAATATGGAATTAAAACTAGTGGAGGTAGGTTTGTAAATCTAGGGGTAAAACAGAAGACTAGCTCATCTTCTGATAAGTGAGTGGGAGGTGGAGGACTTGGGAGTTTTAACGTGGAAAAGGTTTGAAAGGATTATGTGAAGATGATGATAGAACCCACCTGACTTTCTGATAAGACTTTCTCCAAACATGGAAAAAAATAAAAATTCAGTTCATCTAGGATTGGGTTCTACAGAGGGTGCTGTAGTGATTGAGGTTATGCACTGTTATGCTGGCTTACGTGTTTTTGGTACGTGGTACACCCTCTTCTGTGTCTCCTTAAAGTTAAATGTGGCCATGTGACTCTGACCAGTATGACTGCTAAGTGAAGCTTGAAGAACTCCCCCAGCTCGTGCTGCTATAGATTCATGGAAGCACTTGCTGAGTGATGCTTCTTGTTGGAGGAATGGGAGTTGTGATCAGAGAGGAGAATACTGTACATGCACAAGGTATTTGTAGAGGAGAACCGAGGAAATAAGTAACTGAGGAACTTTAGAGGGATGGTCAAGGAACTCAGAGGCTGTCTACACTTCTGTAACTCTGAATGAGCCCTCAATTTGTTGCAGCCCAATTCAATAGCAATGGGTTTTGAACTTCAGGAAATGGTTCTGAGCTGGGGTATAGCTCAGGTTACAACATATGCTCAGCATGCTTGATGCTCTCCATTCTGTCCTAAAACAACAAAAACCAAACAAAAATCCCACTACCTTTTTTGTTGTTGTTTTTTGGTACTGGAAATGGAACTCACAATTTCAAGTTTACCAGGCAGGCGCTTTGTTGCTGAGCCATATGCCCAGCCAAAACCCCACCACCTTAACATGGTTGGAAAGCTGTCTTATTTGACACGTAGAATGAGGAAATCAAGAGCTGAATTTAGCATTGAATTGGAAGATCCATTGCTTTGATCATTAAAAAGTAAATAAAGTGAAAATTGCAATATATCTTTGATATCAAGCAGAAGAGTATTCTTTAGTTAATATTTAGTTATTGTAACAGATTCCAAATATAGTGAGTTTAAAAAGCATAGGCTGGGCATGATGATGCACTCCTGTAATCCCAGCACTCGGAAGACTGAGGCAGGATTGCTGTGAGTTGGAGGCCATCCTGGGCCACAAAGAGAAGGCAAGCCAGCCTGAACTGCATAGTAAAACCCTTTCTCAAAAAGACAAATAAAATAAAATAGTGCATATCTTATATTTAAAATCTATATTTAATCTTATATTTAACTGAATTTTTAAGAAATAGAGGATAGAAGAAAATAACAGCTTGAAGGAAGAAACAATTCATGTAAGTCCAAGATCAAGGTGTTTGCAGACTGGGGTCTGTGGAGCACATCTCGACCCTATAAACAGGAACTATGTGTGTGTTAACTGTCTTTTGCCTTTATCTGCATGTAGACACAAGTTAGCTCCTGTTCTTTTCTTAAAAGGGTACTAACCACTCGTGAAGCCTGCCCTCTATGTCCGAATTACCTCCTGAAGTTTTTGTCTCTAAGTACTGTCTCACGAGGGATTAGATTTCAACATATCAACTTGGGGTGCAAGGGCCCAGACATTTGCGCCACGTATCTATGTATGTAATTTGGTTTTGGTTGCATTTAGTGTATGCTAGGCAAATGCTGTATCACCAAGCTATACTCTAGCTTTGTGTGTTGATTTTGACGAAGATTTCTGTTTTGTCAGCTGGTATTCCCTTCTGTTGATTTACTAAACCAATTAAAATTGAAATCACTTCAGTTTTGATATGCCTTAAATAAAATATGTGTATTTTATCTCTGAAGATTAAACTGTATTCATTTTTTCCCCTTCAGGTTTTTTAGTAAGTAACAGATGAGGGTGAAAGATCCATCCAAAGCTCCACCTGAGAAAGAAAAAAGAAATAGAAAGCCTTCAATACTTTATGATGAAGATTCTTCAGATGACATTACTGGTAAATTGTGGAATCTCAGATTCCAAATGGAGTTGGAGAAAAGTAACAATACATGTTTTAAATTAATAAAACCATTCCTCTTTGTTTTCACTATGTTCTGTTGCATAAACCAGAACTTACTAAGAATTTTAATTTTAAAAGTTGAATAGTAGGACTCTCTCTCTTGTACCAGGAATGGCACCAGGATCTTCACACTGACCTACATCTTCAGCACAGTTTACAAGTTTTTATTTTGAAACAGGGTCTCCTTAAGTTGCCAATTTGCCCAAGTGGGCTTGAACTATTGATGCTGCTGCCTCAGCTTCCCAGAGTGCTGGGGATTATAGCCCCAACATACTTAGTTTAGGGGATGTTTGAGTTGTACCCAGGCCAGATCCTATTCCAGAGATTGTCTAGATACAGACTGGTGTGCTGGCAAATGCCCTTAGTCCCAGCACTCAGGAGGTTGAGACAGGAGGATTGCTGCAAGCTTGAGGCCAGCCTGAACTGCACATGAGAGCCTATGTCAACAACCAGAAGTCCCCCGGAGATCATATAGAGAGTACATAGAATGATTTTCCTTTTAGAATTTTAAAATACAAAACTTTAATACGGCAACTGCTTTTGACAAACCACTTGTAGTACTTATACTAGCGATCGTTTATCTATCCTCTCTTAAACAGCCTTGTCTTCAGTAGCATAGATCCTTGCTTTTCAGGCATACAACTTTAGAATTATTTCTTTATGCTTTTATAGCTTGCTCTTGTTACATTAGAAGCTTAAATGGTTTATTCAGAGTTGCATGTTATTGTTCAGTTGTATTTTGTTACAAATTACTTGGGAGGAATCACATTTTTAGTTTTTTGATAAAATAGACTTAGTGCATACTTCTGTTGCCTAACCTCTCTCTAGTTAATTAGTTAATTGCCTAACCTCTTTCTAGTTTAGAAAGTACTCATATTTTTTTCTTATTCAATAGATTTAACTTGCCAACATGTAAGCCATGCTGTCAGTGTGAATCATGTGAAGAAAGCAATAGCTGAGAATCTGTGGTCAGTTTGTTCAGAATGTTTAAAAGAAAGAAGGTTTTACGATGGACAACCAGTATTTCCTTCAGATATTTGGTTGTGCCTTAAGTGTGGTTTTCAGGTAAGAAAAGTGTTACCTAAGTATCAGTATGTTTTATATTCTGTTTAAATACTGTGAATTGGACATTTGGTCATGCATAAGACTTAAGGTAAATTTATTCCATATTTAGATTGGTACTCTCCAAGAACAAACTTATGCTCAAGGTAAAGTAAAATGTGTGTTATTTTCAGAAGGGATTCATGTTTAACTCACAAACCCTTTAAATGGGGCATCCTCCCACTTGCAGTAGCTTTCTTATCTGGATCTACCTTTATCTTTTATATTTATTTAAGAAGTGGATCTGACTTTTATAGATTCATTTTTCCTCTTAAAAAGGATTATCTGCTTTGTTTTTACAAAATAATTTATCTTAAGAGTTTAAAAGTTTTATTTATAACAAAAGAATTTTCTAATCAAATTAGAAGTGTATACTTTTAAAATAGAAAATAAGGGAAATATTTATCTCCATGTAAAAAGTCCAGAAGTAGGGCCACTTCTGGTTCACTTAATTCAAGAGGAAGAACATTAAAAACTAAGGATTTTGCCAGGCCTGGTAGCAGAGGCTTATAATTTGAGCCCTAAGGAGGCTGAGGCAAGAGCAGTGTGGTGAGTTTGAGGCCAGCCTGGGCTACATAGTGAGTTCAAGGCCAACCTGAACTACAATGGAGACGCCTGTGTTAAGGAAAAAAGAAAAAAAATGAGATTTTTACTATTTTTTTGCAATGTAGGCCCGTCTATAGTTCATGATGACTGAAATGCTTCAGACATCATTGTCACACAGCCATCCTCACAGCCAGAAAGAAAGGGAAGAATATGTTCATTTTCTTCTTTAAAAGAAATACCCGTCAGGCTTGGCTGTGTCTCGTGTCATGTTCACCAGCATTTTAGTTACGTTAATGAGGGAAATTACTACGGCTAATCTGTGTCTCTTTAGTCCCCAGTGAGGCCCTGCTGGCCTGCCTGGATGCTTAGTGTCCCACAGAGTTCAAGACAGGGGGGTGTAAACCCTTATAAGGAACTGGGAAATCAACTTTGCTTTAGTTTATTTTAGGTAAATACTATATGACAACAGTAAGTTAATATCTTTGTAGAAATTAATAGGAATGTGTATTGCTTTCTGAAACTTCCCTCCTGATTGAAATTAAAAAAAAAACTTTTTCATTGTATTTGAGTACAATTTAAGTTTTGATTGATTTGAAACAAATTTACTCTGTTCATTTCTAGGGATGTGGCAGAAATTCAGAAAATCAGCATTCCCTGAAGCACTTCAAGAGTTCCAGGCCAGAGTCTCACTGTATTATAATTAATCTTAGCACATGGATTATATGGTAAGTTAAATTTTGTAAGTCTTTGGGCCACCAAAAGCAAAACAAAAACTAAAAACTGCACCTTTTTTGGGAGGAGGATATTATAAGATAAAGATGTTACACTGGTTTGGTTTATGCTTTTTTAGCCTGAACACAGTTTATAGGATAATTTAAGAAAATTGTTACTACCCATGAATATAAAGTTTGTCAGCAAAAACCCAAGTTTTCCCTCTACTTTTGTCTAACATTTTCTTTGTAACATAAATAAAAATTCCATGTAATCTATTTTTCTTAATGTATTTGCTAATATAGAATTCCAGAGTTCTGTCAGAGGAAGAGACTTTGTGCAGTCACGTGGTTTGAGGATTCTCTTTCTGTGGGGAACAGAAAGCCTGTGGCCTAACTAGTTTGTAAAAACTTCCCAGGTAGCCAGGCATGGTGGTACACTTCTGTAATCCAGCACTCTGGAGGCTGAGTCAGGAGGACTATTGTGTGTTCAGGGCCAGCCTGGTGAGACCCTGTAAAAACAAACAAATTCTCAGATAATTTTAGTACTTTACCTAGCCTAGTTCCATCATTTTAGGTGCAAAGAAACTAACTATTATTTGCTTTTTTTGGATTAGAAGTAAAAAGTAAACTTCCAAGCACTGAAGACAAGCCTGAGTGTGTATTCTCTGTGCTGCTGGGATTGAACCCAGGGACACTCCTTTCAGTGAACCACATCCTCAGCACTTTTTATTTTTTAATTTGAGACAGGGTCTTCAGAGATGCCCAGGCTGGCTTCAGACCCTCTATTCTCTTGTCTCAGCCTTTGCTTTTCCCTGAGTAGATGAGGTTACAGGTGTGCATTATAGTGCCCTGCCAAAATAAATTTTTCAATTCCTTAGATTTTTACCAACATAGTACAGTGTTTCAGTAGCATGTGTAGACATTATCTTGAACTGTTTTCTTTGTATTTTAACAACAGTAATTTTCTAATTGGTATCTGGACTCCTAAAGTTCTTTGAATGAATTTTCAGAAGTCTTCAAGCTTTCTTTAAGACAAATGTTTCATCTTTGTGTTTTTTTGTTTCTAAAACTAATACAAGGATATTTTGGCTTTTAGGAGAGAGAGCATCTTCCCATAATTTGATAGAGTTATAGGGGTCTGGTGTTTGCCGCACTTATGTTTTTGTTGCTATTGGGGTATGTAAGGAAAGAACAGAGAGAAATTAATATGTAAATAATGGGTTGGAAGCAGGAGAAAGATGATGTCATAATGTAGTAGCATGGGAGTGTTTACCTGTAGTGGTCTCAGACTATAGATTGCATCAGAATTACCCAGAAGACTTGTGAAGGCAGACTGCTTCATCCCAGATCTATAGATTCCAGTTTTATGGTTCTGAGTGTGGCCTGAGGGCCTGCAGGTCCGACAGTTTCCTAAGTGTTACTGGTGCTGCTGTTCTGTGGGTCAGCTTGAAAACCACTGAAAGAAAAAGCTGGCAGAACTCAGTGGCACTTAGAAGAGTAGGGTTATCTGAAGCGAGTCTGTGCCAAAATCTCTGTTGGTAATCTTTTTTTTTGTCTTTTTCCTTTTTACCAGTACCAGGGATCGAACTCATGACTGCCCGCTTGCAATGCAGGCACTTATGCCGCTGAGCTAAATCCCCAGCCCCTCTGTTGGTAATCTTATTGTATGAGTAGTGATTTAATTCTCAGAAAATATGTTTTACCTGGATAATAAAATATAAATGAATAATAAATATAAATAATAAAGTAAGTTATATCTTTCCCAAGAAAGATAACAAAACAATAAAACAAAACAGTAAAAGGGTACAAGTAATACACAATTTCAAAAAAAATAAACAGTAAGAAATCACTAGTTAATAGATTACATGTTGTCATCTTAGAAATAGTTACAAGTTACAAAATTAAGCATACAAAGTGGACATTCAAACAATGAGACTGCAAACAGTTGTGTTCAATGATCCAACAAAAACTTAGTAATATGGTCATCTATCTTACACACCTAAACACACTTGCAGTTGTATCCTTTAAAGCACTTTCTTTTCCTCTTTTTTTTTTTTATAGTAACATTTACACATTTTGGGTTTTATTACTCCCACAATTCTTATTACTTTTTTTTTGGAAGAGAATAAAACCAAATATGACAAAACAAAGCAGTCAGTCAAAACAAAGGATGGACATAGTACATGGTGTAAAAACAGAATACAAGGTGATCAACAGTGGTTACCATGATGCCTCTTTCTATCTTAAAAAGAATTGCCTATATCATCAGGTATAATAAAATTGAACAAAACAATACAGAACAAAACCAATAAAACCTAAACATTGGAGACATTACCGAACTTCAGAAGAAGATAATAGTCACACCAGAATGGGTGTCATAGTGAATCTTACTGCCCATTTCTCTTCTGTCACTTAATAATTAAGATGAAACCTTTGTAGTTATTTTATCCCTTTAAAAAATCTTATTTTAGTTTTTAATCTTTTAACAAAAATAGACAAAATGGTATAATGAATCCCTCTATACTCATCACCTGCCTTTGGACAATTATCACCTCACAGCAAATCTCATTTTATCTAGGTCAGTGTCTCAGTACTGTTGATGTTTGTACTTGTAATCCTTTATTGTGATCAATTCTTTGTTGTACTGTTGTCTAAATTATAGGATGTTTAGTAACATCCCTGACCTCTACCCACTTCATGCCAGTAGCATCCAGGAGACAACCAAAAAGTCTAAACATTGGGGAAAGCCCCCATGTGACAAAATTATGCAGGTCGAGAATCGCTGATACACCGATACCTGCTTCTCCCTTCTCATTGCAATTACTTTGACATTTGCGTCTCCCTCAACTTTTACATCTCTTTTTTTTTTCCTCTGGGACCAGGAATTGAACTCGTGACCAGGCAGGCGCTTTGCTGTTGAGCTGTATCCATGGCTCTACATCTAACTCTACTGTTTCTGTCTGCAGTATATCAAATATGTCCAGTTCTCTCCAGATTCTTGCTACTACACTGATCTGTTTCTATTCCCAAAGCCCTCTAGTCTAGTTTATTACAATATTCAGAATGATGTTTTTAAAAATATAAATTGGGCTATCTTACTGCTTTGCTTAAAATCTCCATCTTATTTCATTATATATAAGGTAAACTACAGAATTTTCATTTGAACTATGAAGCTGTGTACAAACCTGTCTCAGAAAACAACAACAACAAAAAATAAAAGTGGTCCAATACCAACTTTGTTTCCTAAGGTGTAAAATTATTGAAGATACTCTCATAATATTTGATTTAAATTTATATTTTTCAGGTGTTACGAGTGTGATGAAAAATTATCAACACATTGCAATAAGAAGGTTTTGGCCCAGGTAGTTGATTTACTTCAGAAACATGTTTCTAAAGCACAAACAAGTAAGTTAAATAGTTGCTAAAGGAATTATGTTAACATATATTTTATACTTCATATAAAGGACTCGTAACTCCATGAAGATTTCACTGTGACATCATAGTCTGTGATATGAGTAAAGATACCATGGTGGTTAAATCCTTTTTGTTTGTCTGATTTTTTCTTGGGGTTTGAGACAGGGTCTCAATTTGTAGTTCAGGCCGGCCTTGAACTAGTGATGATCCTCCTAGCTCAGCTTCCAGGTGCTGGGGTCACAGATAATTGCCACCATGCCCAGCTTGTTTGTTTTTTGCCACATAGTTTAGTCTGGTTTTTGAACTGACTACGTAGCCCAGGTTGGCCTTGAACATGCAGTGATCCTCCTGCCTGTGCTTCCCAAGTGCTGGGATTATAGGCATGCACCACCATGACTGCAGTGATGGTTAATCTTGTCAGTTTGATTGGCTTGAGAGATGCCTAGGAGATTAGTAAAGCACACTTCTGTGTGTGTTTGGGTGGTTGTGGGGCATTACCTTGGTGTTTTACTTTTCTTGTTGCTGAGACAAAATACCTGATGCCCAAAGTAAAAGGAGGCAAAGTTTGTTTTAGCTCATAGTTTGTACAAGTTTCAGTTCATAGTTGGCTGCTTCCAAGGCAGGGTGGTAGGTAAAGGGGCGTCATGGGGAGCAGTAGCCCATTGGAGGGCAGATAGGCAGCAGAAGCAGCAGCAAAGCCTCCTTTTCTGTGCTGTCCTACTGCACCACACCACACCCAGGCTGTGCCCTCCCATTAGCCGTACCCAGAATTACGCTAACCCATCAGAGGGCTGATTGGGTAATCATACTCCTGCCTATCCAGCATCAACACCCTAGATCCAGCCACCTCCAAAAAGGCTTGGGGTGACATCTGGATGCCCTCTGGCACCCTTGGGGACCACCTCTCATTCCTGGCACCTTTCTCTCTTGATCTTCCACTTCCTGCTGCCTACTGCTGTGAGCAGAGAAGCTTCCTCTGCTGCATGTTTCTCTTTGAAGCCAGCTGATCATAGCCTGAAACCTCTGAGGCTGTGAGCCAGAATGAACCACCTTCCTTTTAAACCGTGTCAGCTATTTTGTCCCCGCCATGGAAAGGTCAATAGAGGATGGAATGTAAGTCACACAGTCCTCAGATTGCATGGGGCTCCCCACTTACTGCCATGAGAGCTTTATCTTGTGATGTTGTTGTGAGGCTTAGTGATAATATTTTGTAAACACGTAGAGAGAATGTATGTAAAAACATACACATGATGCCTGACACCTATTTATGAAATGGTCTCTATTATTATTTACTATGCAACTGTAGTGCAGTTCTGATACCAGCTACTGGCCAGACTTCATGGATAAAGACTCGGTTTGTATGCAGGACTGCTTTAAGTGCAGACACCAGCTATCATCTCAAGCTTCCAGGCTACTCTATTTCTGACTAACCTTCTATACTTTGGGGGTTCCCGTGACTTCCTCAGATTTGATGATTCCAAAATAATTTGGAAAACTCAGGAAACTGCTGTACTTACGATTATGTTTTGTTGTAGCAAAAAGGAATAAAAGTCGGGATCAGCCAAAGGAAGAGACAGGTGTGCAAGGTCTGAGAGGTCCCAAATACGCAGCTTCCGTGTCTGCTCCACAGGGAGTGAGGCGATACATCTCACCCTGACACCCACAGTGTGTAGCAATAGCAAGGAGCACCGCTGCCCAGGGAAGATCTGGTGCTGAGAGTTTGCACTTTTTCATTATCTAAGTGTGGTTGCTTGTGTCACTGGCCACTTCAGGTCAGTCTGTAGTATCCAAACTCTAGTTGCATGGTTTGTCTTTGTCTTTTGGGCATGGCCAGCTCCCATCCTGACTCATCTTTAGCATCTAGGAAACCTCAGTGAGTGACAGATACTCTTCTCATTTTGGAAAGTCCAAGAATTTAGAGAGTATCTGCCAGGAAGCTCGAACACAGGTCAGCCAAATCCTTTATTATGTGACAGTAATGTATTATATATTATATACTGTTATGTTACATGCATTAATAGAGTTGAGGGAACTGGTTACTTCATTCAAAAATAAATGCCTCCCACATGCCAGATATTATACTTACTCAGTGCTGAGTAGTGAGAATACATGTTATCTTGCTCTCTGAGGGTTTGGAGTATAGGAAGGGAGACAAAAAATAAGCAAATATATAAATTTTACTAAGTGCTACAATGGAGATATTGCAGTGATAGGTAATAATCTGTTAGTCACAGTTCAGAGGTGCTGGTATGACTGAAGTATAGTGTTTTGAGAGAGAATGGAATGAGATGAAGTTACCAGGTGGGTGTGCAAATCCTGAAGGATTCTGTAAGGAATTACGTAGGAAATACTCAATTGTAAATGGAATATGATCATCATTTAAGTTTATACTTTTTAACAATAAAGATATCCGATTACTATATGGAGAAGAGACTGTGGGGTTAAGTGTGGAGGTAAAAGTGGGGAGATGCTAAGAAGGTCACAGGAGGTGTGCTGAGGGGCAGGCGATCGCCGAGTGGAGGATCTGGTGGGAAGTGCTGGATTTGCACGGTGAGGATGACTGGGAGGAAGTAAGTGTAACCCTCAGAAGTGTGACTGAGTACTGGGTGAGGGGGAGTGAATGGGTATGTTAAGTCTGAAGCAGAATTGAACTTCTTAGATGATGGCGTCAGAAGAGGAAAAGTCATACAAAGATATAGGTGGCCAAAAAAAGAAAAACAGAGCAGCCAGTTGTATTTGCTATACATCAGTGTATAGCTGTCCTTGTTGGCAGTCTCTCTAATGAGATAGTAATGAAGAAGTTGGAAGAGTTAGAGGAACAAACCAGCTCCTGGACAGCAAGAGGCCATTCATTCACTTACTCATCATACTTTCGTTGAATTGTTTTGGATGTGCCAGTCATAGCTCCGGTTCTGCTCTGATAAAAATCCAGGTAAATATTGGTTCTTTTTTGTGTCTGTGGAAAGATGTTAGATACTTCAGGAACTGAGCTTATTCTTAATGCTGTCTTCTGAGAAAAGAAGCTTTTTTTTTTTTTTTTTAGAGAGGAGGAGCATAAAAAGAAGATAAGCAAGCATGTACTGTCATGCCCAGCTTGATGAAAATACAATTGTAGACTTTATTTTCTTTGAGTTTGGTACTTTAGAGATTTTCTGAGATTAAGAACAAAGCCAAATCTGATTTCTACTTAGTTTTACAGATTTTTTTGAGTATTTATTACAGGAAAGTTGCTAGGTAGAGAGCATGCAATGGCATGTTAAAAAAGATAAGGGCTCTGGCATTCAAATTTAACTCTCAAAAGCTGGGTGTAGTGATGCACACCTGTAATTCCAGCACTCAGGAGGCCAAGGCAGGAGGATCACTGTGAGTTCATGGCCAGCCTGAACTATATAGTGAGACCTTGTCTACTAAAAACTAGAGCCAAAACAAAAATCTAATTTCCTGAATTTAACATTCATTCATTAGCTATGTGACCTTGGGCAGATTATAGTGATGGGGGCCTAATTTTTAACTCAGCACTTTGTTATCGTTTTTGTGATGTTATAGTGAGTACAGGTTGGTAAGTCCTTTAGAACTTAGTAGTCCTAAGTTCTAAAGGAAGTTATAGGATTTAAAATAATTGGATAGAAGATCAATAAATTAATTTCTAAAAAAGAAATTATTTGTGCACATGAAGAAATTACTGCCCCTTAAAAAGTTGAGGGAAGATTTAGCCCTGATACATGCAAATATGGTTAGCCCTGCAGTCTTACAGGCAATGTGGCTGGTGCATTGTTAAAATTGATTACATCACTTAGAAACAGATTAAAGGAAATAAGAGCACTCAGATTAAAGGAAATAGAGACTTGACTGTAGAGTAGAAGGGATCTCCAGGATTATGAAATTGTCAATAGGTTTATGAAAGCAGATAAAAAGTTGTATTTGCAACCAGCATGACAACAAATCCTATTTGGAAAATAATATAATCTCCCTTTTAAGGTCAAATCTATTAAAAGGTGAGTTACTAATAAAATAGATATATTCTTAGAATCAAAAGAGTAAATTACTGATACAACATGCAAAAGACAAAATAGAGCACATCATGTATGATTATGTGTGTGGGGTTCAAAAAGAAGGGCAATAGAGTGATTGCTTTGGCAGATTGATTGGAAAAGGGTAGACAGGAACTTTCTGAAGTAGTAGAAAGGTCACCTAGGACATGTACAAAGGAGTGTACACTTGTAAGTATAGACTTGTGTATTTCACTGTATGTAAATTTTACCTTAATAAAACATCCTTTCCTTTAGACACACACACACACACACACACACACACACACACACAGTAACTGGTATGCAAATAGAATAAGCTTTCTCTTTTTTATTTATTTAAAGAATTTAAATTCTTTATTTAAATTTAAATTAAATTTGTTTGTTTTTTTGTACTGGGGATCGAACTCACAATTGTGTACTTGCAAGGCAGGCACTTATGCTGCTGAGCTAAATCCCCAGCCCTTAAAGTATGTATTTTAATTACTGTTCAAGCCCTTCAGGTGTCCAGAGAAGCTTGTGTGTTCATGTGAGAACGACAGTGACCTTGAGCGAGCTGGTTTTGAAGCTGACCTTAAAGGGAAATAGGCAGAAAAGAAATATCTTCTGGTGGTAGGAGCATTAATGGAGACCTTAATTCTCTAGGTGGATTTGTGGAACTATGAGTAGCCCCTGGGGGCGGGGGGGGATGAGCTCTTGAGGTAGTTCGAGTCTCCAGAGTTAGAATGAATTGTAGTTCTGAACTTACGTTTTCAGAAGGAAAATAGCCTGACCTTTGTGGCCAACCTATAGAATCTCTCAGGAAAGTTTGATTTAAAATAAGATCCTTCAGGAGTTTAGATTAATAATCTGCTATACTTTTGTATGAAGCTTCAACATATTTTTATAAAATACTTGAAAGTCAAATAGCAAGGTTTGTAAAAATATTGAATATAAATTTGCAATTATTTTAAATGATAATTA